ACTATTGTTCTGAATGCATTCTACCAGATACTTTACGGAAGTATATTTTCTTTAAAATTTCACATGAACGAAATACACGTTGAACCTTAAATGTTCCCATTATGGCACAATGTTTTTTGCATTCAACAGTAAACAATAATCAAACATATATAGATACATAGACCTACATACTTTTACAGAACCTTTATTGTAGGTAAATAACTTTGCTATTTGCAACACATTATACAGAACATTTTTGTAGTCAACCTGTTTTGTAGAAACAACATCATACATCAAATGACACAAAATTACTAATTAAATTAATTTTAAATGTTTCCCAAAAAGATGATTGAATTTATAGTTTTGAGAATTTGTCTTGTGGGGGCGTTCCACTATATTTCAGATGAGTTCAGAGGATGAATATCCACTAAAGATGTCTCTTTCTTACATGCTTCAGTTCTTTTAAAATCTAGAACATAACATAATGCAAAATTTGTGTCTGTGTGCAGTTGGTAAACAGGGATATGGCAGTGCGAGCTTGTGGCTTTATAGTATTTCGACGTCTAGCCAGCTGTATTCCTCCACAAGACAACACTGAGTATCTCCTTCTTCAGACCTCATATGGGGAACACCACTGGACCCCACCTAAAGGTGATTACAAGTTAAAATACAGTGCATTTTTAAATATATTTATGTAGCTTTTTGCACCTTCAAGCACTTTTTTGTCCTATTTATATCTTACCCTGCCTGCCTGCCATCAGGCCATGTGGACCCAGGTGAGGATGACCTCACCACAGCTCTGAGAGAGACCAAGGAGGAGGCGGGGCTGGGGACGGAGCAGCTGCAGGTGATTGATGGCTTTGTTCAGGAGCTGCACTATGAGGTACGAGGCAGACCCAAGGAGGTACGGTACTGGCTGGCCGAGCTGAGAGACCCGGAGACAGCAGTGACGTTGTCTGATGAGCACCAGGACTACCGCTGGGCCAGGCTGGAGGAGGCCTGCACTCTGGCCCGGTACAAAGACCTGCAGGACACACTGAGAGCAGCGCACAGACACTTACAGGTTTGGCAGGACAAACAGTGATGCAGCCAAATTTGGACTGTAAGGGATGATTAAAGAAAGGAAATAACTGTCAATAGGTATGTGACACCTTACATTATCTATTGTGAAAGTACTGCTTCTAGTTCATACAATTTCAAGATTATG